ATTCTGACTTTGCTTCTTAAATAACAGTAATAATAATAATAATAATAATAATAATAATAATAATGATAATAATTTTCAAAAAACAGCTTGAGTAGATGTATAAAACTACTCAGTAAAAAATGACTGCCAGATCATGAAGGAGTGCTGCTGCTATCACCGTCAAGTGGCAAAATGTAATTAAACACAAAAATTTAAACGGTCATTAAATGTAAATGACTGAAATGTAAAAAGGTGGATTATTTCCCTCACAAATATACGTGAGTATAAGTACGAAAACACTGAAGAAACTATAAACCCATCAAAATCTTACTTACAGTACATGTAACTAGAGCAAATGTTCTACTTCATTTTATGTTTCATGAGCTCATATTAAAGCCCTTGTGCCTCAGTAACCCTAAGAAACTAAGTTGCAATAAAGGGATGATCTTTTGTTGGCAGCAGCGTGATTGTGAGGTATAAGGTTTTAAAAAAAAAAAAAGTTGTGTTACTAGCAAAATGAGTTCAGCACTCTTTCTAATTATTAGAATCAGACTACTGTTACGTCAAACATGCTTTTGATTTTATTGAATATAATGACAAAGACAAAATTAATAAACATTTTATTCTTTAGACATATGTCTACAACAATTTAGACACATAAATACTGCACAGTCTACACTATCCAAACCACAGACGAATGAAAAGGAAGTGTCCTCCATATAACATGTAACCATGTTCAGCAGTAGGCTATTATTGGCAGGATATTTCTTTCAGAAAAGCATGTCCAACTTTATTTCGGTCTTGTTAAACTCCAATTCTTTGCCAAGATATTGTAATCAATGTCCCAATGTGTGTGTGCTCTGTGGTCTATGAGTGTGGCGTGTTGCTGTTAGGCTGGTGTGGTGAGTGAATTGGACAGCAGCAGGGGTTCAGCAGGGCTATGGGTTCCTCTGGGCTCCCACAGCTCTATGACCCCGGGCTGGACCAACCCCAAACTGCCCATTCGCCTGTCTCCCGTCCACTTCATCTTCTCTGCTGACATGAAGATGGATCAAACGAAAACAGAAAAACACTCTCACCATTCCACAACTTGCCTGCTAGAGTGACGGCAACAGGTTTCAGAGTGGAGCGGTGGCTAACTCATGACTTACACCTACTTTCCCTCCAAAAATGTTTGGAAACATACACAAACACTAAGGCTGCAGGATATGCACAAAATACCATTTTGTGACTGCGTTATGACTAAATTGCTACAACTTGTGATTGAAATATAGAGCAGCTTTAATGTAACCTTGGCCAGCATTGCTAAAATGATTTATATTCTATGGATTATGTGAATGCTTTAGGCCTCATCCACACATATCCTGATACTTTTGATACTTTTCATCCACATGAACATTTTTTTAAATGCTCTCCAGTGTAAACTCCATTTCCGCATTTTCGTGTGGGTGAGCAAAGCATGGGTTTTTGGAAATGCTGACATGGTTGTTGATATATTTATTGAGCATGCAGAGCTCTGTCTGAATTTTGGTTGACAAATGGGTTGTTTCTGTGTTTTCGGGAATTTGGGTGTTGATGATGTTTATAACTGAATTTACTTTTTCAGGACAGAATCAGGATCATCATAATCTGCTGCGAGGGGTATCAACTCAATAGCAAGCATTAAAAATGTTCCAGTGATTCCAAAGATATTTGATATTTGTTATTTGATGACTAATGACTAAAGCTAGATCTGAAACCATAATTCAACCTAAACCATAATTCAAATGGAGTAAGAAATAAAAAAAACTCCTTGACAGAAAGGGGTAGGGTTTTTTCTTTTTTAGGCCTTGTTAAGCTTTTATTTTCTGGCAGAAGTTAGGCTTTGAGTAATATATCACAAAATATTAAATTATGGAGGTCGGTGCTTGTTCTCTGTCTTCAGCTTTGCACTCTATATTTTGCATAATACACATGGAATTTGGTATGGAGCAAAGTTTTTTGAAAAGTAAAAAAAAAATCAGGCCTTAATTCGTCCAAACAACCTCAGAAATTCATGTGGAGCATCTAAGTCAAAAATTAGTGAATTTATGTATTGCAGCCTTTTGGCAATATCAGAACTGCAAAGGCTAACACTCTGATAACTTATAAATGATTCATTGTGCAGCCCTAATACAAACACTGACAGTCTCTCTCTTTCTCTCTCTCTCTCTCTCTCTCTCTCTCTCTCTCTCTCTCTCGACACACACACATATGCACTCAAATATACAGCTCTCACACAGATGGCCTGCACTAACCACAAATGCTGTGTAACCCCAGCCCCCTGTGGTCATGGCAGGGTCCAGATTGCCAGTAAAGAGGGGGATGCTTCATGGCTCAGCTATTCGCTGGTTAAAGGGAAAGGATTTCAGGCTGACCTCAGCCCCTTCACGCTCGGCCTGCCAGAGGAGAGGAGAAGGCCGCTCTGCGCCGAGAGGCCAGGAAGCAATGTGAGGACCAAGCAGGAACACCAACCACAGTTATTTACAAATACTAATACAAACATATGCTTTACATCACTCTCAGCACAGCCTGAGGACCTGAGATGGATTCAAACCTCAAATGTGTTCAAATAACAGTGGAGACCCACAACAGCACAATAGCAAGTGGCCAGCATAAACATTCACTAATAACTTGGACTGTTGGATGCAATAAGAGACCAGAAGTCGAAGAATTTGAGTGAGTGGTCCAGACTATGTGCAGAAATAACAGTCTGACCACGTTCACAAGAGGCATTCACTTATTGTGTGCACACTCTGTGATTATCAGGAACTAAGGACGATGTCCAACAATGCTCCATGAGATATTATGTATGCACATAAACTCAGAGCTTGACAAAAAGTGACAAATTCCTATACAAACACATCAGATACTGCCAAATTAGAGGGTCTGTAAAATAAACAGATTTAAATTCAGGTTCATTTTCACATGCTAACTTTGTGAAAAACACCTATAAGCAATATAGAAACAATTTAAGCTCTTGAAATCGCAGACGTATTGCATACTAAGTCTTATTATTCAGAAACTACAGGGACTTCTGTCCAAACTGGTGGAGCTATTCTTAGGTTATAAAATTGTGCAAAACATTTTTGATCTGCAGGTGGGCCCTGGCCAGGGGTTCAGTTATGTTGTTAATTAACTCACTAAATTGATTTCAGAGATTACTAACTGTTCACTGTAAAATTCCAGTTCAAATTTGTTGACCTATTTAGCATTTGTTGTGTAATCTGAACAAAGTAAACATATTGGTTTAAAAGGTTAGTTTTACTTTGTCCAACACAATCCGCCTTAGAACACATGAATATCAACATTTTGCAATTTAACTTAAATTTATTTAAGTTGACAAAACAAAAATCCCTGTCTTACTTTCTGCTATGTAAACTTGTTTTCTGATGTTCAATTAACTTTCTTTTTAAAATTAAAACAACAAATCATTTTTCATATATTTTTGGATACAGAAATGTGAATAATTTGAGGACTCCATCAAGTGTCTTGAACATCTTTGCACTTCCCCATTATCAGGAGATTGGGGGTTAAAACCCATGATGCCAGAGCTTTCCTGGACTGGGAGCCCAAGATACCTGGTGGCACTGTTTCATGAAAGGACTCCACATTTACAGCATTTAGCAGACAATCTTATCCAGAGTGATTTACTATTTGGTCATTTTTACACAGGTAGGTGAACATAGCATTAGGAGTCTTGCCCAAGGACGCTTATCGGTATAGCGCAGGGTGCTTGCTCAGGTGGGGGAATCAACCCCCAGTCTACAGCGTGGCATATACATAGTTTACCTACCCGAGATGCAGCACTAAAAAAATGTGAGTAAGGAGAACCTTTAACTGAATTAAGAAGTTTGAGCTGAGTGAACTCTAGTGCCCTCAGGTTAAGTTAAAAGACACAGTGTAATAAGTTGACATATAATTTTTAAGTTGAGCTGACTTTTCATTTTTGACAATGTGGTGATTATACACCACACTTTAAAAAACATGCTGCTTTTAAACTTGAAGTTTTTAAAAAGTTTTGTAGTTTACTAATGTAAAACACAAATTATTCTTCTGTTAAGTTAATATAACAAGTTTAATGCAAACAACATTTCAAGTGAACCTGGTTACTTACTTTCTTAAGCTTAAAAGCTGCATAACCTTTTAGAGTTCACTAGGGTAAGAGATAAGTTTCGGAGTAGGTATAGGTTTAGGGTTGAAGTTAACCCTTCAAAGGGGCCAAAGTTTTATTACACACTTCTATTACCTAAGAATAGTTCAACCAGTTTGCACTGAAGTCCCTGTACTAACAGAGTTTAATTGGGTAAATTAAGGGTTAGGTTTAGGGTTAGATTAATAGAATCTATCACACTTAACTTTGTGTTCAGTTGCATTTAATAGACATTTGAATGTTAGTTAAAGACAAACTGAGCATCCTCAAAGCACATACAGAGCACATGTTACCCAAAAGTCTAACATAAATATACATTTTAATCATTTTTCAAATGTTTGCAAGAATTTGGTGCTAACATTAGTGCCTTTCTGTTTATATTTGCTTTGCTTAAGCTTCTGTATACAAAAGGTGTGGGAGACATCACCATAGCCAAAAAGTGATTTTACACAACAGCATGGGGCACTTGGTCCATCCTTCAACTCACAATATGAGACAACATGAGAAATGGTATGTCAGGTTAAAGTGGGGTCCAGAGTGAGAAAACTCAGACCTGTGGTGTGTGTCTAGCTAAATTGCATGAACATGAAAGAATCAAAGTGGAGTTTTGGGGGAGAACAAAAGGGAAAAACTGACCCTCTTCCCCATGTGGGTGTTCATTTTATATTTAACTGACAATGTTCCTTTAAAAAACCCATGCCTGGAAATCCCATTAGATGTGCATATAAAATTTCCCCCGTGATTAATAGTAGATGAGGCAGGGCTGGGTTGGAGGGTACCAACATGTGGCCTACTGGACTCCTCCTCCGCAGGCTCGCGTTACACTCCATAAACTTGCCACTCTTTCCCACCTAAGCGTTTAAAAGGGAGGAGGGATCACTTGACAGGAATTGCCTCAGAAACTGTGAAAGCAGCCTGTAGAGCTGGGAGTGGATATAGTGAGCTAAACCTTATATGCTGAATGAGAGGGTGTGAGAGTGTGGACCACAGCTACATCACACTCCCACACTTTCAGAGAGACAGAAAGAGAGAGAGAGGGCTGTAGTGTAACACCACTGCTGGAGGGTGCGTGACCTCACACTTCTGCTTATTAAGCGAAACAGCCAGTCTCTAAAGCTTAGGAAGAGAAGCCTGGAGAGTTAGTGTGCGATTTGTCGAGGTGGATGATGAAGATGTGTGTGTGTAGAACCACATGCTGAAGTGGACACTTCCGACCCAAACTTGTGCCAGCTGCATCTCTGAGGGACTTCAGACTCTGTGTCCAAGTGTGAGTGTGGTTGCGCAGGAGCAACTTTGAGTCTTCACTTTGTTTCAGAATGGATCAGCCGGCCAGCAGCTGCATGCGGAGCTCCCACCCCGCCAGCTCTCTATGGGGGTGTGTGAGAGGCCCTCACCCAGTCACGACCGCTGGAGCTGGGCCCTACCAGCAGACCCCCTTCTCCCTGCACCAGAAGCCCGACTTCCTGGCCTACACGGACTTCTCAGGCTCGTGTTTGGTGCCGGCGCCGCACGCATACCCGCGCGAAGACAGGCTGTACCCAGAGCCCCACAGTGCTGCCTACCAGCGGACAGAGTGGCAGTTTGGCTCATGCGAGCTGAGGGCCAGAGGTCAGGAGCCATGCCAAGCGGCAGTGGGTGGAGGAGCAGACATGGACAGTGCGGGAGTGGACAGACTGCCCGGGACAGTGACAGCCGCACTGGATGGGGAATACTCCCCTCAGAGTATAGCCACAGCTGAGACGGAGAAAAAGAGCTGCAAGAGGAAAAGAGAACTCACAGGTGAGTCCTATGATATGGTGTGGGAGGGCCGGGTGGGGTTGTGTAGCAGTTCTCGAGATTTCAAATACTCTGCACAAATATGAAAGCCCTGAATACAATTGCATTTACCCCTTAAACTAAATATTCAACAAATTAGTTTCATAGTAGTTACAAAATAATTTATAGTAGTTACTGAGTAACTACTATATCACTACTAAGTATCTAACTAAGAATTAAGCTTAATGACTGAATAATAATTGTCCCATAATAATTATACCAATAATTGTACCATTCTACTATGAAACTCATATGTAAGGTATGCAGTTATGTGAAATTGATGCTTGGGGCCACACAAGGGTCCTCATAGGACTAAACTAAGAAGACAATGTATATGTTAAACTCCTGGCAGTTAAGTTAGCTAAATTTTCCATCTGTGAATTTTTATGTCTATAAAAGCCTTATTCAGGTAAAATATAAGTGTAACTGATACATTTGCCTTTTAATAATCGCTAAGAGACTCTGATCAATACTTCGCTTAACTGTACCCTGCATAGTCATAGTCCATAAGCAATTAAGTATTTTCACAATATGCAATAACAAACAACAACTCAACTGGATTTAGCACTGAGCACACTTTTCTTTACCAGATGTAAACACTGACGACAGTAATAGAATCAGATATTTTCACTTTAAGCTTTGTGCTCTGAAATTCCAGGAAAACAATTTCAGTGTAAATACTATAGTGGTGTTTCACAATAGCAGGCGTGCACATGGCAGATGACACATAACTCATTAATCTTACACATATTATTATTCTGCAGTTGTTTCCTTCTATTGTTAAAAGCCCTCAGGCACTTACATGATGCTCAGACACCAAGGGCATTCAATTGTTTTCATATAGATCCATTTAATGTTTGTGTCATGCAAAAATATACATATCAGCATAGTGCTTACTTGTGAACTTTTGTACCAGTTACTGCACTAAGCGAAAAATAACACATACTCAGCCATGATTAAACAGCCAGTCATGACAAAACAGGCAGCACATGGATTAGATGATTGTAATAATCTAATAGAACTAAGACAGTCAGTCATTTTGCCTTTGACAAAGACCAGTCATGAAACTGACACTAATCCTCCAATGTGGATATTGTTAAAATAGTATTACTAAACTAGTATTAACCTTAAGCTGCAAGCTAATTACGCCTTTACTCGAAAGTTCCATACTGCAGTTCCTCAGTCTTATAACAAAATAACTTGCAAATAAGTTTCATAGTAATTACTGAGTAACTACCATATAATTACTAAGTAATTAAATGCATCTTAAGCTTAATATTTATTAAGCTTAAGATGCGATAAAATATATTAAAATCACATGTCTTTTTCAGCATTTACACAAGATCAGTTAAGAGAAAATGTTTCCTGAAGTAATGAATCCAGTACAGAGGGTTGGCGCTAATCTATCATCATGTGGAAACAGCATAACGTCCTAGAGACCAATACTCACACAGTATTTTGTTCTATAGGAGTCTGAATTTCAGTGAGCCTCATGGCTACACTTAATGAACTCCGGAAATGATTAAATCTATATAATAGATTTAGAAACGATGGGTTTTTTTTTTTTCATTCTTCCAATTCCGTGCTATTCCAAGCAAAGGGAAAGAGAACCTCAATGTTTGTGGCACATCTGGAGCAGGCATTAATTTCAGCTTTCAGCTTTCGGTGGAAACTGAGACTGGCCAGCCTTTGTGGAATAAAGGAAACTTTCTCAAAGATAAATATATTTCCCAAATAGCGTTTGAGTGGTTTTGTAATTCATTGGCCAAAAAGGCAAGATAATATTCTCTCTCTCTCTCCCTCTCTCTCTCTTTCTCTCTAGACAATTGTGATCAGGCTTGAAGAAGCGATTAGATGAACTCTGAGGGCCTCGTCATGAGGCCCTCTCACTCACCAGTAAGCTCAGGCCTCATGACTCAATATGAAGTAGAAATATATACTTTCTCTCTCTGAGTTACCTTAATGTAACCCTCAGTCACTTGCGGTAGAAACATGCCAGACCATGTCTGTGATATAACTTCCCTGCGATTCCACTCCTGCATTCTTACCCACTGACATTTTCCTGTCGTTAAGAGGTAACAGAATCCTCAGTGAACACACTCTCAAAATGACTGGAGGAAAGTATGCTGCTCTAGAATTTATTCACAGTGAAAAGTGAAATATGCTGCATACATAATGCATATGACCGTATTGTGTATTTGGTGAAATATCGAGGAAAAAAGTTAGCGTGAGACTGTGTAAAGTGGTAGGTGCTGACAAGATAATCATTCCCAGCTCTGTTTATACTTTCACTGGGGTTTCACCTTATGTGACAACAAGACACTTGCTGATTGTACATAATTGTTAACAGATATGATATTTGCTGCCAAAAACTAATTCTCTGTCAAAAGCAGTGAGCTCATCCTCATCTAACTTGTCTTAAAGCAGTTCAGAATTCAGGTGATTGCAGGCCTTCCACGGAAAAAGAAAGAAATGTAAACCAGTAAACAAAAAAGCAGTATTTCAAATCACTCCATATCACTTACATTGCTTCAGGTTTTAGGCGGGTATTCCAATAAAACTGCATGTTTTAGTTCTGTCAGACAAACTACTGTTAAAATCGTTCTGTGAAACAAATTGAGCCATGTTATTTTGTTTTGTAACCCTCAAATGACAATAAACGAGACCTAAATGACTTATTTTGACTTCATTTAGCACCCCCACATAACATGCCAAATGCTGTTTGTCCTTAAGGCACCCTGCTGAGGTTAAGAGCTGCTCCCTAAAAGTTTATAGGCTTTTGCTGGGGAACTTTATTGGAGACTGTTTGGTAGACACACCACACTGTGCCAGGTGTTTCTCCCCAACCTGCTGCCATACCATTCACTGTAGTGCGCCTTAAACAGAGGGGATTTTAACAATGATAATAAGGCAGCACATGCCACAGGTTGCTGTGTGCAAGAAAGCATTTTCTTCTGCTGCTAGTGAACTGCCTGGCTCTCCCCACTCACATCTGGCCATACGACTGCAGTCCATTTCACAGTCTGGCCTTGTGGATCTGGCAAGTGCCATAGACAAATTCTCACTTTGACAAATTATAGACATTTTGTAGGTATTACGTCACTTCTTGGTGGTGCTACCGATGCTGATATATGATTCAGAAGTTAATTGAGTTCATAAGGTTTTGGATGGCGAAAACAATCTCAGCCAGTCTCCTCATTAGTAATGGAAAAAGTTCAACCTGCCATGTCTTTACACATTGTATTAAGTATTTTACAGACAGCTTGACAAAAGACAGAGCTTTGACTTCTCCCCTGCACAACAAACTAGATTTTCTGTTTCTGCTCCAGTGTGGGTTGTCAAGTTGCTAAATTACATTGGCAAAAGAGGCAAAGGGCATGAAGACTTCCCACATACATGTACACTCACTTCAGCTGTACCCATCCGAGTCTTTGTTCTTTTGATAGCAGATTTAACAGTGTTCCGGTGCATTCCTTCCTAACACGACTCCTCTGTGGCCTGTTTGGAGTGCCCCCCTGATACCCTGACACACTATAACTCCGACCCAAGCACTCTCTGATCTTCCTGAGTGCTCGTGGAAGTGTGTGGCCTGTGCGGGTCACAACTGCCAGCAACCGCGTCGTAAAGAGGGGGCGTTTTTAACACAACATGCATGAAACACAGACCATAGCCTTGAAGATCTGATTTAATGTTGCACACCCTTTCATGGGGAGTAAAACAATGCATGGTTTGTTGTTTGGGGATTTAATAGTGAGAATGTTCATTTAATTGAGAATTTATCACCAGATATAAAACCTCACGTCTACAAAAAAGTAACTTTAAAGGAGAATGCAAAATGTTCTGAAGTTTCAATGTAAGTTAATGTAACGAGAAATTATTATAAGCCATTTTGAACCAATTCTGCTAAACATCATGAAATTTTACAATGTGTAAATGTCAGCTGGCATTTTCAGATTAAAATGGAGACGATTTACTTCCCACAGCAAAAAAAAAAAACATCTAAATTATATGACTTAAATGCCATTGACTGAATCAATAACCCTTTAACCTCTTTAGGTTTTAACCATAAGATTTATTTTTCAGTCATTACAATAAATTATTTTTATAACTACTAAAAAATGTATATATACTTCATATATTACTAAGAATGAAGAACTGAAATGTGGTTTTAGGAAACTCGCTGCAGGCTTATTATTCAGTTAATAATCTTAAGGCATATAATTCAGTACTACAATCTGAATTACTTGAATTTTGTATATATTATTATATGATTATGTAAAAATGAGGAAATAACATATTACATATCAACGCTTGCAATTTAAAAGGTTAACCTCTTTTATCCTTGTCTATGTCTTTCAGATATCCAGGAATCTGGCTTTAAGGCTGATTCAAACTGCAAGGCCAGGAAGGAGCGGACAGCCTTCACTAAGGAGCAGCTGAGGGAGCTGGAGGCAGAGTTTACACATCACAACTACCTGACCCGTCTGCGTCGCTATGAGATTGCTGTAAACCTGGACCTCACTGAGAGACAGGTACAACACAACAGCACCTTCACCTTCTTTATACCAGGCTGTAGGAAGCCTTCTCTGGCTTTCTCTTTACTTCCACATAATCAATTGTAGCGGCCTGAAGAAGTTGGTGTACTGCAGCTAGCTGAGGAGGAGGGGAGAGATATTTACAGTCATAGGCAAAAGTTTGTCTGTCCTGGCCAAATGGCATGTTTTGTTGATTTTCTAAGTGGAAATAAGTACACATCTTCTACAGAGGATGCACAATGTAAAGCATAGTTGGGGAATGGTTATGGCACATTTTATATTTTATGTTTTTTTTTGTTTTTTTTTAATATGTTAAGCTTAGCAAGTACATGTGCACTAAAATGAGCAGAAAATGCCATACTTTTTTTCAAAGTCAGATTGATTGTCATTTCTTCTTATCACAGATGTGTTGAGAGAGGAACAAAATGTAGTTTCTTGAGGACATGGTGCTACATTTAACATACAATAGCAGCAGAAAACAGTTCAGACAGACAATAAATACAACAATACAATAGAATACATTCTGTACAACACAAAACTATACAACTTTACAATTATTAAGCACATGACTAGAGTAGAGACTAGTCATTAATCAAAAAGGTGAGGGGAATGCACCGGCTGATGGACAGTCTTTAGTAGTAGAAACACAAAGATTAATAATAACTGCAGACAATTTACAGTTTAAAGTAACTGTGCATATAAAGTGAGTGAAGTATGATGTTTCACACAAAAATAAAGTGGCTGGGTGCAGAAGGGAAAGTGTGATGAAAGTGAATTTTAGTTTGTTCTCTGCAGAGGACGTGTTACTTTTAACTTTACTTTACTTTTACTTTAACTTACTGCTAACTTTTTTCACTTTGAACAATGACTTGAAAACTTGAAAATGGGTGTTCGAATGTTTGTATATAGCTGTACAGCATTGTTCAGAATTGTCAATAATGGCCAAATGCATGAATCCTTAACAAATCATCAATTTTACATGAGAATTGATAATTGATAATTGAGAATTGACTCCACCTCTACATGGTGGTGTTTTGCGCTTAGGTCAGTCTGCATGACTCAGGGTGAAATGTGTGTGAAAAAAGGCTGCTAAAGCCTTCTCATCACTTTTTAATCTCATCTTCAGTTTTGAATACTTTTTTTACATGGACTACACTTAGTCTTGTCCTAGATGGCTTTCCCAGGCCCACACACACACATCCACACCAGCCATTCTAGATCCTGAAACTGCTCTGGGTTCCTCCTAAATCCCTCTGCAACTCTGTCTCCACTTTTTCCGATACATCCTACATTTCTTGGCCGAACGCCGCTCCTCGCTCTCAACTGAGTGGCAGACAGATTGAATAAAAAGGCAAACTCTTAAAAATAGTGTGGGAACAGATGGTCTATGCTCATGTGTTTCCATAGGGAATGCTGAGAGGGATGCACAAGGGTCACAGACTTGCACTCCTCTGAGTTTAGCCATCAAAACAATTATATCACAAGTTTCTTGATTGCTGAGTGCAAAATCCCCTTATGTGTATCAGAATAGATGAGATGTACATAATTCTATATATTGCATAGTAAATGCCATAAACTAAGGCCCACACTTCCCATAATTCCTTACACTCATAACTAGATCAGCTCCATATTAGTTTCATTAAATGGATAATTTATAGTAAATGAAGAATGATACGTTTTGAAATTAATATCTGAATGATAAGCACACAGTTTCAAGCAGGGCTGGCCAAAGTGTGGCCTGTGGGGGCATTTGGTTTTGGCCCACCAGAATGTTACCTTAACTCCACCCCCTCATCCAATTAGAGAACAAACATATTTTTATGTTATATGGACAATTCTACTGAATTAGTTCAAATTGCAGTCCCTCAGTAACTAACATAAAAATATAATCAGATCTTAAATATTAATAAGGATCATGTTATGATCTATAAAACCAATGGTGATACTTTATTTTATATGGTCCTTTTTAGATGAAATAAACACTCAACAGGCTCTCAGTAACATCAACAACATATCATTGATGTAGCAGCAGTGAACACATTCAGTAGATTATCAAGAAACTTTTAATAAACAGTGTAAAGATAATTTGGTTATAATCAGCTGAATTCAGCTGTTTTTCACTTTATTTTAAGTGTTGAAGCTCATATCTGTAGAAAGAGAGTCACTGAACATGTAACAGGTCTAATACAGGCTATTACAAGCTGTTACAGACATGCTGCTGACACCATTCTATAACTGGAGCTTTACTGGATTAGGTTTTGGTTAAGAATAGGGTTAGGATTAGGGCCACGGGAGAGGGTTGGGTTTTGGATAAGGTTGGGTAAGGTTAGGTTTTGCTTAATGGAAGTAACATATTAACAATACATCTACTTAATGTAAGTATCATTAGCATGTCTTCAGGATATTTACCTTAATGTTTTCAGATGCTGCACTACTGCTACTTCACTGTCACTTCACTGATGTGTTACTGATATTGTTAAGAGTTTATAAATCATCTACAAAGGACCACTCAAAAAATTGTTACCAACTCAAGACATTATCTAAGATAGTAAAAGGCTAAATATATACAAAGTCATCATTATAGTTACCATTGGAAGGTGTCTGTCCTAAACCCTAACCCCTACATTCCAACTTGTGAAATGAATATTTACAGTTTTTAAATATTTTTTTTTAATTGATTTCCTAGTAAAGTTGAAAGATTAAGATTTATCATGAGATGCCTTTATATGAAAAATGCTGTCCCATGTTTTGATGTCACTACCGACACACAAAAGGTTTTAGTCCGTAGACAGAGCCTTATTTTAGCCACACCCCTGCATTTTAGAGCAGGATGATTATATAGAATGAGCTATATAACTTATTCAAAAGAAAAAATATTTTTGAAGCAGTTTAGTAATGAAATATAGTGTAATATATTAAACTATTTTAAAATACATTTTTAAAAACTTCCATGATTAATGGACCAACAGAAAGTTTTCAAAATTACTTAAATAAAACTCTGTTATATCTAGTGGCCATGAAAATTATGTGTTTTTCCTTCTCCTGTACAGTTACTGTTTTTGGAGAGACAAGGTTTTCATCCAAAGGCAGCGTTCTGTGCATACTCAAAGTTCCATGCTGGGAGTGGTAAAAACTACAATATCCATCTACAAGCTATGTGCAAAATAAATCCCAGAGCAAAGAAAATCCCAGGCACACCGTCTTAAGAAAAATATAAAAAGCCTTTATTAAAACATGTCAATATATATATAATTGTGCCGACATGTTGCAGCAGTTCTGTGCTTACTGTTTTGTCTTTTCGGCCCTCTGCCCACCATAAACATTGCACTTTGGCTCCCCATGAAAAAAGTCTGGATGTCCCTGATTTAAGAGGTTGATAGTTCCAAAAAACCAGAACTGGATCCGTTTGGTTACGACCGCTGTACTGATTGTGGCTATTTTTTTCACAGGTGAAGGTGTGGTTTCAAAACAGACGCATGAAATGGAAGAGGGTGAAAGGTGGTCAGCCTGCTTCCCCCCATGACCTAGAAGCAGATGAGTTGGATTCTGCAGCCTCGCCCAGTTCTGAGTAAATGACCCTGACCTCCACCTCCATGTACAGAGACATTGACACGCACACCACTGTGCATCCTGGGATATCTGCTACCGTGAAGCCACAAATACAGCATACAATTAACATAATGCCAAGCTTATAACACATTCAAACAACTTTTGTTTTATGGACATTTTTGGGATGGCCAGCTCCTCTGGGGTCACTAGTTTGGACACTTTCTTAAACCAAAATTGGCTTATTACCAAGCAAATGATATCAAAGTCTGCATTGTTTTAATTCATTTTATCCTTAAATTTTTGGTCAATAGTTTTGACCTTCAGTGACGACACTATGATGTAGGTCTGTTGATGGACTGACTTCACACTGCAGTGTTGGGTTCAGAAGCTTGATCAGAACCATCTGTTGTAGCTCCACAAAATAAGACCTACTCAGGATCTCTCATCTGGTGCCAGAGCACCAGAGACTCAATGTCACATGTCTTTGGTTTTAGTCTAGGTTGTGCTGTCAAGTTGTTCTTAGAATATATATTTTTTTTCTACCAAACAATTGTTTTCAATTTTTATACCTCTTTTTTAACATTGATTGAAAATGATGAGACACAGATGTTGCATACTGAAACCATATAAAAAATGAATAAATCGCTGAAAAAATGGGAAGAGCATCACATTATTATTTTTTTAAACCTCAGTCAATGAATTATGACCTGAAAAACATTCTGAAAGAGCTTATTGGACACGGTCTATGATTTGGCATTTTTGCGTAGGATTGTGTTTGCTTAGTATAACAATGCTGTCTACAATTTTCTATAAAACTTTCTATTGTTTCAGATGCTTGAAGCAATAGAAATTTGAAATTATTTAAAGCTCTCATGAGACTCTATGACATTTATCGTCATAATTCTTGTGACAAAGATGACATTTGAAATAATATATTAATAGCATGTTTCAGCCAAGGCTAGAGTTGGAGGAGTAACTTGTATTTCTAAGTCTTCCATCATTTATGACAGGCAGTGGACAGCCAGTAGAAAGCCTAACATAAACACTCATCAGGGAGGATCATTTGCAAGTGTAAAATATAGGATTTGAAGGGCAACTATGGGAAGCAACATGTACCACATTGTGGTAATATGTTACAGCTCTGATTCGGCTAAAAAACTAATGCATTTACAATGAATACAGGATTCCTGTTAAGACTGCACTGTAGAGCAGTGTTTATAAGACCTCATGACACCTACATCAGCTCATCATGACAACTCACATAAACGTTCATCAGCATTTATAAAGGCTTATATGAGCAGCTGTCTGTCAGAAAGGTTTCTTTAGTCAAGTTGGCTCAAAATCTATGTTGGTTGACACTGACTGGGTTGTGCCAGGACATTAAAATCTTATAATAGTGGTGTCAAACTCAACCACTAAAAGGGCCATATTAAAAAATTTCAGCAAATCCGTGGGCCAGCTGTTTTTATTTCATTTTTACCTAACATTTTGCCATGACCCAAACTGGCCATTGTTTATTCAAAATATGTCAAAACTGCAACAGCAAAATAGGTATTAAATATTTTTAATAATTCTAAGTAAAAGTAAATTGTTTAAGGTATTTTTTTTTCAACTACCTATTAGCTTAAATTTGATACCAGGCATCTTTTCTTTTTAAGTAACCGCTGGGCCATAGATTATTGTTGGGGGAAGGGGGTCGGAACCCACACCATGTTGCAATGCATGCTGGGGACTGTAGTGCATCTCAGGGTGAAACAGACTAATAAAAATTGAGAATTAAAATAATTTTGTGGGCCAAACAAGACTGTCACGGGCCTGACTTGGCCCACAGATCTTGTGGTTGACACATGGGCCTTATAACAACTGACTTTATAGTTCATGGTATATCACAGTGACATAATGCTGATGTAACATAGCTTAAATCTTAAATAGTATATATTCATATAAAATTCAACATACAGAATGAAATATAAAGCATAAAACATGGCCTCTGCAAAAGTTACAGCACATGTGGCACATGAAACAAATGTCATATTTCAGTGAGCAAATAAAGAGAAATTGCTCACTAATTTATTTTCACTCAGAAAATTAACAAAACATGTCAATTAACCAGGCATGTTCAAACCTTTGCATACATCTGTAGGTCTGTCAGTTGTCATGCTGTTCTTGTGTAGGTGTCATGTAGCCTTATGAACACTACCTTACAGTTAACTTAAAGTGTTACCGAATTCCTCATCATGGGTTGATACCTGCCAGGCTGTGTCTGTGCATAATGGCTACCTGCCTGAGGGCTCTCACTCTACCTTGTTTATAACAGCAATATCAGTTTGAAACTTTGGCATCAAATCCAGACTTGGCTTTGAATCTCGTTTTTTGACGGAAGCATCTGCACGCACACATAAATTGATCCTGGCCCTGAGTGGAATTCAGAGGAGCCCACGTGGGGGCCTGGCGCACCAGAAGTCTGGAGGCTGACCACTGGCGTAGAGAGGGAAATAATAGGTGGGTATGGGTGAAAAGACGGCTTCTCAAGTGCAGGATGTTGTTGTAGCAGGTAGCCAGTCATCCAATTTCCTGCTTCCCAAAGAAAACAGTGGTAAAGCATCCAGGGTCCAGGGGCTTACAATGGTGGGCCTATACTGTGGCCGGCCAGCCAAACAAAGACTGGAGAGGTGAGTGGCCTCTGTGCTGGACCGGTGCAGGAATGGTTCCATACACACCCACGGCAGGGGCTAAGTCTTCCAGTGCTGTTGACCCCAGCCAACCACAGCTGCTCTCAGCCCATCCTTCATTACTTCCTGCACATTCCACTCTTATGAGGACTATTATTGTATTAGTGCTAATGGCTGTCAAAACAAACCCCACATATAAACCATAATTATTATATTAGAGCTCCTAATGAAAATGCACTGTAGTGGATAGAGGTTCGTTTACACCTGTGACATTTTCTAAAATAAACACTTTTGGAGGAAAATATATATATTAGCTCTCCTTTTGGCAGGAACACATAATTTCATATGTTTCAACAAGAGATAACATATTTTTTTTATTATTTCTAAGGAAATTGGTAGACGTTTAGGAATTAAAAGACATGGCCAAATCATGCATATAAATTACCATTTCAAAGATCAGATTGCGTAGGCTTGTGCTGAATTAGCCAAGTCTTCCTGAAAAAAAGAACTATAAAATAGTCATGTATGAGGCAGTTCTGCTCTTTGTGCTTCCTGACAGAACTGAGATGGAAAACAGAACATTCTCCAGCCAGCTTGTGATGATGAAAGCAGATTTCACTTGGGGGCATTCTTTAAATAGCTTATGACTACACATTTTATGAATATGACCTTTCTGTGGGCAATTAACCAAACATGCTCACAAAAACACTTTTGTCCGTTAGATGGGCAGAAAGTGACAGTTAAATGGATAGAAAGTGACTTAACTTTTTCTTTAAGAACAATTAGAAAAAAAACACTATCTGCTTTTGGCTTTTTTTCACTCTGGACAGAGGAAATGTAATGGTCTTCCTCCAAAACAAACATTTGTATAATCATAAGGAAAATCATATTACATGCAAAATTTTTGCTTCATTTTCTTTTTTCCAGTTTTATTTTTTTTTCAATGCTTCGAGATTTTGTTTTGACAGCCTAATAAATTCTGGGATTAATTGCAACAAAAATACAGGCTTTATTATGAAATGTCTTGCTTTGTCATACTCACTCACATACTCACTAAGGTCATGAGCGTGGGGTTTTTTGACAGATAGTCGGAGGTGTGTAGGTCAGGAGCATCTCACGAAATTAGAGCATGTCCTGCAAGTCCAACCTCAGTGCTGTCGTCCATCAGTAGGCTGCTATTGTTTACAGAGGCAACAATTCACCAGACTTCAAAGATCTCTGACACCTTTCACTGTCCAGCCGTGTCAGCGCAGGCCATGCTAAAGGTCTTCTAAAAGAATATCAACAATATGGCACAAATTGATTGCTGTGTATCAGAAAGCATAGCCAAAAGCAGTATATTGTTATTAGGCAGGAACACACTAATATGATGGTAAATGACTTGGAAGACCACAGATGACCACAATAGCGGATAAGCAAAAAGTACTTTCAATCATGAAGAAAAACTGTTGAAAACCAGCATGTCCACAAAGGATTTCTCACAAGATACAAACCACTTAACCTCAAGATCAAGGTTTGCATTGTTTTCAGTGTAATTATTGAAAAATAGGCTTTAGGATGTAATAAGCTTCTGATTTATGTAGTTATTAAATAACTAAAGTTCCTTCTTCCAAAATAACATCTTATACATTTCAGTAACACTTCATGAAGGGTATCTACATACATTCATAATGTCTTACATAAACACTTCAAAACATATTCATTAATGTTTCAATCAATATTCATGAAGTGGTCATACTGTACATGACATTCAAACAACTTCGTAGACAGCGAAGAAGGCACAGGTTTGGCAAGGCTCCACAGCAGAGACGGCACAACAAGGCTTAGTGCAGTGCAGTGAGGCTCAGTGACAGAGAAGCATCGCAGTGAGCACCACAGCATTATATGCATACATATACTCCTCTGCCTTGTGGCCCCTGAGCAAGTGGCTGGCAGCATCCAGCATATACTTATGCAGAACTGTCTTCAATAAAGCCAAATAAGAGCTTATAGAGCTGATTTATTCCCCATGTAATAAAGCCAAATACACCCACAGCCTGCCTCCTCTCACTCATCTTGCTAATGTCAGAGTTGCCAGGTTGGGCAGTTTCTCACCAAATTGGGTGGATTTGGGTTGGACTGAGTGAGGATAAAGGTGGACAAAATTTAGGCTGGTTTGTCAAAACGTGGGCTGATTTTACAAAAATACCTAAAATTTACTTATGTAGAATTGCCTAAAATACTTAATATAATACCGCTGAAATTTGAAATTGCAGTTTATTATTAATGTGAAATTTTATTTTTCTTATAATGTTTTCTTATATAGTATTATGATTGAAATACTGACCTTCAGCTGTTTCTGTAGCTGATGCATTTTGGTGGTCTTTTCATTTTTTTTCTTTTTTGGCTGGAACGCTAGCAGCAATCTGGCAATCCTGCCTGCAATTCAGGAAGTTATTGTGTATTCAGAGCAAGGTATTAAATTCAAATCTTTACTAATGGACAGCAACTGCAACATAAACTAAAAAGCTCAATGTCGCAAGGTTTGAATGTCCATTTTTAAGCTAAAGCACCATCGTTAGCTTGACACTAACAAGAATTAGCATTGTGTTAGCAGTGGTAATCTGATAAAT